TGAAACAAATTTTCATAATTTTTTATATTGCATTTATATGCCTTTTCTGGTGTGTTATTTGTTTTTTATTTAAATTACTTGTCTATTTATAATATCATAATGAAAATGAGACTAAACAAATCAAGATTTAATGGAAAATTTAAAGAAGCCCTTATATTATTTTCATTATCAGTGTAACGAACCTTATGTTCGTCCTTTGAAGTTTATAATTTTATTCTAAAGATAATTCGAGCCTAAATATATCAAGCATCAAACCCCGCGGCACGGCAACCACAGTAATTATTCCTCCTATCGTGCCGCAACTTGTAATTTATTATGGAATATTATTGTATTGTAAATTTTGCATAAATCCTATTCGGTTTGCATAATTTCGGGGGGACATGATCCAAACTGTTTGGAGCACGGAACATTAAGTTTTATGGTAGTAAATAAGTAGTTTGGTGAAGTCCGGGATTGGTAAACTTTGCGCTAATAGCTAGGTGCTGATACTATCTTTTGAAGGTATTATACAGAAGCTATAAAGGTTTTAATGTACTATAAAATGCTGTTGTATCTTCTGTGAAGGTTGATGTTCTAAATGTGAAACATTTGATGAAGGGTTTAATTTTTTGCGTAGTATTTATGGCACTAACTTTACTGTTACTTTCGGTCTTATGACACTACCAACGATAAATTGTGAAAAGTGAAATGTATTGTCTTTAAAATAGAGCGGCTAACTTTACATATCTACTTTGTTATGATTATACTCCAGCACGACCCTGCTTCGTACGAGTGTTGAACTACTTCGCTAACGACGAGAGCATCGCTATGCCCCAATTTTCCCATCAACTTTTCTAAAAATTTCTTTCATTAGTACCGTCTCGCGATTATAACAAAAACAACAATAAAATAATTGACCTAATTGGTCCAGGTGTTGTCAAGTTATGAGCTTACCAACACATGTTGCAATTTTTTTCTGAATAAATTTATAATATTAGGATATTTAGGAGGCACTCTTAAAATAATTAGAAAAACAAGTTATTCCCGAAATCCACATTTAATTTCAAGTTCAACAACACCCCTTATATTAAGAAAATTTCCAACGCTTACCTAACTCGGCGGTATGTAAATAAGTAGCCATATCCATCAGATACCTAGTTCAGACGTAACTTTGTGTGCTTTGTGTACCTGTGATCACGTATCTCTTGACGTAATTTATTACAAAGGCGCTCTGCCCTGTCAACTGGATATAGGTTAGGGCTTTCAAAAGCCGTGGGTACCGGTACCAACATTCGATAGTCACGAACAACCACATATAGGAACTCTTTCAGTTTACGATTACCATCGACTAACACTTTTTCTTCACTTTTATATATTTTTATGGTGTACAGAACCACTTCAGCAAACTGTTTTTTACTATAACGTTATTGGATGGTTAAGGGTATTGCTTGAATCGTGATGTAATATAATGGTTAACTCCTTTTTGACGAACAAAGAGTGTCGAAGTTTTGTTCAAAAAGCGTAAGATCCGAGGTTTCAGTTGTTATTGAATTTAAGTGTAAAAAAGCCATGCTTTGGCACGAATGAACCAGCTCTATTGGAGTGGTTAGGCAGTTCCTGATAGAAAACCATACCTTTGTGCGTGTCGCCGTGTGAGATTGGTTACCCATATCCCCATTATTTTAATCCCAAACTCGACTCACTTTTAACTTTGGTGTAAAGGGTGTTCACCGGTCACGTCGTTCGCCAACCATCAGATGACCTGACTACTCGTTGGCCACTTTATTAAAAAAAAGTTTTTAGCTTTAGTATTTGCCCAGGCTTTAAATTTTTCCTAAACTTCAGAAAGAGATTCCTTTTACCACTATTTCGTTCATGTCTTTGTTTGTTAGTTTATCTATGTGTATGTGTACTTTATTCTCTTAATAATAATTACGATATTGTTAAAATACATGGTCTTATTGAATATGTCCTTAATGGTGTCACATAAACCACGTCTCTTTGTCGTCGGACTATAATGTCGCGACAAGCCCCATAAAATTTTATATGTAAAATGTAGTGTCGTAATATTTTATCGTTGAAAAGCCGTATATGTGAAAGAGCGTTCCAGTATAGGATCGTAACAAAATTGTTTTTATTTGTCTATATGGTTAAGAATATGACTTTATGATACTATGCAATGTTATAGCGGCTTATATCACATCTCTTAGTATGAGATCATCGCTTCACTAGAAATCACGTGCCAAAGATCATCTGCATCATCATCGTGACAATACGGGCTGTGGGTTCAAGCAAAGTGATGTAATGAACTTACTCAGTAAGAGACACTTCCTCTCTTCCACCAAGGGCGCTGGAAGTCATCAGATGAACCTCTGTCAAAAAAGAGTTTAAGAATATTAACAAACATAGCAATATTAGTTTTTTCTTTGACACAAATAGCTAAGTGTGGGAGAGCCATGCTTCGGCACGAATGGGTCGGCTCGACCGGAGTGATACCACGGCCTCACAGAAAACCGGCGTGGAACAACCACAGCGTTGTGTTTCGCCGTGTGAGTGAGGTTACTGGAGGCCCCATCCTTCTCCACCCCAATCCCTCCCCAATCTCCAAATCCCTAATCCCTAAAAGGTCGGCAACCATCGAAAACGCACTCGTTAATCCTCCGTTGCGGGTGTCTATGGGCGGCGCTGATTACTTACTATCAGGTAATCCGCCTACTCGTTTGCCGATCTATAACATAAAAAAATAGCTTTGTTTAACGAAACTACATGTATTAAAGGAGGAATATTCTCATAAATTAAGTCCTAACAAACAATGAAGTTGCTAATGAGTTGTCAGAATTAATAGCTCGGTGTGTATTAATTGCGGGCGAATTGTTTCCGTGTCGGCCCTGAAAATGGGGTGCAAACATGCTACGCTCCATGTGGTAATATGGCACAAACGTTTGCTTGCGGCAACATGGAAATAATGAATGGAAAACACGGTATTTTCGCTTGGCTTTCTTGTAAATGTTGCTGAATTTTAAGTAATGTTTGTGATGAATATGATAATTGTTTATTGTTCGCTAAATTTTTTGAAATACTTCATCTTTTTATTCCTTTTTTGGTTAAATTAGTATTGGAGACGTTTTCAAATACAGCTTATATTTTTTTGATGATAAGGTAAGCAGTCAGTGTCGCTCGTGGACCATGGACCCTCAACAATAGAGGAGTTGCGATTGCATTGTCGGCCTTTTGGGGATTAGGGGTTTAGGGATTTAGGGATTGGCGGAGGGAAACAAGGATTTAGGCCTCAGTTAACTGACTCAAACGGTGGATTACAAGGTTGTGGTTGTGTTACGCTGGTATTCTGTGAGGCCGTGGTAGGTATCACTCTGTTACTACAAAACTTGACTATGAAATATGAAAATATTTATTGGAAAGTAGACCTTAAGTAATGTCAAGGACCAAATTAAACTCAATCCTTATACAATAGGTATGATCGTATAACATTTAAACAAACCGGTATACGACCTTTTCGTTGCGTGATCCCAATATTATTCATATCTAGGTCTCATCACCGTATATGGTTTATTTTTATACAACGAAATCTTTGTTTTGTACGATAAAGTTGGAAAGTTGTGTGTATGATAAATATCTGGTAGACTGGCCTCATATATTAAACTCTGAAGTATTATAAATGTCGGGGGGTTAAAGGCGTATTTATTTTAAGAGTTTTGATTTATTATATTATGGTTTAACATTCATCAAATATTTAATATATTCAAAGCTAGCTTCTGCCATCGGCTTCGCCCGAAGTACCAGTAAGCAGCCGACGTGTTACTTTGGGCTCACTTTTATCGCAGCAGTAAGACTCCTTTTTGAAGAGTGGCTAAAGAGACGCCAGGGTTTCATTATGGATGTTCCTGCAGGTGTAAGCTTTGAATCCAGCTGCCGTGTCCTTGGGGAAGTAATCAGCGATGGCGCCCTTTGGCGATTAGCATAATCGCCTATCTCTGTGTCAATTATTCCGGCCCATGTAGTAGGTTTTACGTTAAAGTGTAACGAACTATCCATACTTACAAATTTTGCGTTTATAATATTATCAAGATTAACCCAAACTTATTTGCTCGTTGAAACTATTTATAAAATCAGACATGCTAAAATCTACATAAAACGATTAACAAAACAATTTCAACGTAGTTAACCACAAACTTTAATCCATCCATCAAAACCCGCTCATTATACAAACACAGCGTAGTTTCGTGACACGGCCGTTTCATTATGATAATTGCCAGGGAGAAATTAATTTGCCGAGACGTTCAACCCTAGCCAATTCCGTTAACGTTTTGCTAAAATACACCTTTTTTGAGGTTAGCCACATTTTTTGCTATTTATTTTACGTCGAGAATCCGGTATCTTTATGTCTTTGTTTACTTCTGGGATAGTTAAAGGGTTTCCGAGTTTTGTGAAAATGACAGAAGTTTTCGTTAAAATACTGCTATGCTCGTAATATTTTTGTAAATAAAAATGTGGCATTTTTAAAGGATTCTTTGTGTCACCCTCTTAATAAATGGGACTTTTGTATGTCTTTTTGGAGGCTACAACTTTTTATGCGTATAAAGTTTTGTTTATTTGTTTTCTTTTTTGATTTGCTCATTTTAGTAAATTTAGAACTTGACTCTCCTCTACCATTCATAAAATGTGGTATTGTAATGTTTGTAGTAATGGTTTATAACAAATTGTTACATATGAAATTATCTATGAGATAATGCTATATTAATAATAATAAATAATTTATGCTAATAATAAAATTTAATCTTACAAAGCCAAGGTGAATGTTGATATTTCAATCTTCAAAGAAAGTGCACATTTGTCATGGTTTAGATAAAGAATAAGAAATCTTTAGCATCAAGCTTCACTGTCAAACAGACTGACAGACTATTATTTCTATTCTATTTCGACGTTTCAGACCTATTTATGGTTTGGATAGAATTAATGATTTTGACTTTAATTTATATTTATTTTTCTTTATTTGCTTACAGGAGCACCTAAATGTGTTAAAAGAAGAAGCTCCGAGGGTGGACGGGGTCAAGCTGGAACAACTCCTGTCTGCTGCATACGCGCTGATTAGTCCTGAGCTTCAGCAGGTCACGCTGCCCGACTTCCCTGTAGACAGTTTGCAGGCTGCCGCTCTCATACTGGTAAATCAGTTTTATGTACCTACTATTTCTATAAAACAATATTATTTACTTATTAATGTTATTAATGAATAATATAGGTAGCACGATGATTATACATATAAGGTAATTATTGATTATTTACAATTGACATTATTTATATTGATGACTTAAGTTTATATATGTCTGGTTCGTGTTAGTGTTTGACTTTTTTAAACTAATGGTTAGTTTAAAAACAATTACTGTAAGTTATTTTTTGATTTAGGTTTATTATTATGTTTGTATCTGCGTCGCGTGATTTTTTGTTTCGATTTCGTAAGCTGTCATTGATTCCAATAAGCTATTTGAAGTTAGATACCTAAGACAGATACAACTTTCATAAAAAATAAGGAAATGTAAAAAATCTCGTGATCGCGTGCCGCCATTTTTGCGGGCTTCTGACATATTTAACGAATATAATTTTTAAAGTTTGTTAATTAAGTAATTTCTTTGTGTTGTAAGTACCTTTGTACTGTAAGATTAAAAACTTTTTCATTTTAAACTCTCACAAACGACCTTGTAGTATTAATCGCCGTAAAACACGACACTGTACTTGCTAATCATGCTCCTTAATGAGCAAAGTTTGTAGTGAAAACAAATTAGTACTAACTACTGATGTTTTCTGTAAGTACATTACAGACGGTGAGTGTTTATCTGAAAAAGCTTAACATTTATTTAATAAAAATGTTACTACCTGGGTTGTTAATCATCTTAGTCTTTAATGAATAAGTTATTCATTATTTTTAGCTGATAGTAGTTAGTGGTGGTAAGATTTGATTTAATAAAATCATTATTTGTGATTTAAAAGTCAGAATTGTTAATTTTGTATTGAGGATAATGTCATCATTAATTTTTTTGTTAAACTGTTGCGAAGGATCACCCGAAAAAGAATTTTAATTTCCAATCACTACGATATAATTTTTTAATAAGTCATTAGATTTACTTACTAGTTACTTACCATGGACTGACAAACACAAAAAGAATAGTTCAATTCGAACCAGAAGTTTCGGAGATTAGCGCGTTCAAACAAACAAACTCTACAGCTTTATAATATTAGTATAGATTTATCTGTAGCTGATATTATTATAATGTTGGATACGAAGACGTCAAATAAAATCAGCCCAAGTCCTAAATAGCAGTAAAAAAATGGCTCTTGAGGAGAACCCCTTTTTCAAAAAGGAAAACTGCATAAAACTTGGTAGCTATGAACGTGAACACCCCTTCTTGACCTTGGAGGCGAGTTATACTGATGACGGGATCGCGTGCATGCCTTAGGACGTTCAAGGTCAAATGTATCTTCCTTTGTAACATAAATTTTTGGTGGCTATTTTCAGTTTGTTGCGCTCTTGTTTCTTAGTTGTTAAAACATTAGCATTTTTGTAGGTTTTTTTTGCTAAAAGCATAAAATTCTTTCTTCCCTAAAATATGGGAGTATTTTTTATTAATTTTGTCACTGACTACAACTTTTCCTAAAAAAACTTTCATTCTTAAAATATATTGTTTTTTCCAGGAACGAAATCCAAACATCCCTATTCACAAATTAGTTTACCTTCTCTATCCTTACCATTCCTTCCTCACCAGAGAACATGTGAAGAATGTCGAAGCTGTTCTCCATAACTTGAAAATTAACACAAATCCCAAATGGGAGATATCGCTCAAGGACATCCAGGTCAACGGAAATCAAGCCTTAGTTACTATGGAAATGAATGGTGCTAAGTCCCAATTTAGCGTGCCTCACGGGGGTAGGGTACAGGGTGTTGAAAATAGACACATTGTTAAAACTGCTTACCAGAGCGAACTTCTCAATGAATTGATGCTAAGTCATAGTGTTGGAGATTTTTGTATTATCGGTAAGTAATTATATAAGTTTTCTTTTTCGTTAAAACTGATACTCTGCATTTAATCAGTCTACTGAAAATATTACGAAATTCCATAGTTTAACTGTTCATAAAATCAAAGTCATAAAAATTAAATTAATGTGAATGGTATTTTTATAGCTTTTTTGACCATTTTTTATTTATGAGAATATTGTTAAGATTTTCTGCTACTTATATCGTGGATGCGTTTTACAAACATACATATTAGATCCAGACTTAAAACAACACTTTGTGACCCAAAGACTTTTCCGTCTGGGAACCCAACCCTGTTCACGATGCACGGCAAATAGTAAAAAAAGTAGTATGAAGAATGCACAGTGCGTATCTTTAATTATAATTAAATCTTGGTAGCCGATTAAAACGAAAAACAATTAAAGGAATACATTTATTAAACAATCATCTTCTTTCAAACAGGTCCAAAAGGCTGCGGTAAGAGTCTTCTCGTCTCGCAACTATCATCCTTATTAGGCTACACAATAGAGCCTATAGTCCTGTATCAGGACATGACTGCTAGAGATCTGGTTCAACAAAGAACCACCTTGGACAATGGAGACACAGTGTGGAGGAATTCAGCGCTTGTCGAAGCAGCATTGAAAGGACATTTGGCAGTGTTAGATGGGTTGCATAGAATACATGCTAGCACTCTTGCAGTGCTGCATAGGTAAGTTTTCTGTTCTGTCTTTTTTTTCTCTTTTGTTTGTACTGTTTTTTATTTAGTTTTTTTTCTATGTTGGTTCTGTATATAAAGCGATTGCTATCGTAACATGCTAAAAGAGAATTACAAGGTTAAGTCTCAGTTTCAGCTTATTGCTTATAACAAAATGCATTCTGCGTTCAATTTTTTTGGTACAAAAATTCCCAAAAATTATATGTTTTGTTTGAAAGTATGAAAGAACGAAAAAATCATTTACTTGCCACTGGACATGCTACACAAAGAACCAAAGGTATCAATAAGAAACAAAAAAACAGCGTTTAATATTGAACAGCGCAACAATGCTTAAAGCAGTTTGTGTACCGGCAACAAGTAATATGTTTTAAAGTATTGAGGGAAGACAAGAGGTCGTCGAATTGACGTGAAATATACTTTAAGTTTTAAAAATAATTATACTTAAGTGAAAATTGGTATCAGTTGAGCTTATACCTAAGATTTGTAGTTTGCTTTTAAAGCGTGAATCTTCATCATCGTCGTTCCTTTAAAAGCTCCCTGTACCTTAATGATTATGTTTTCGGTTTACTCACGTAATAATTTGACGAGATACTACTCGACTAGTTTCAAGCCATGCTAGAGGCTCATATTCATGAGCAGCATTCCGCAACACGCGACGCGGCGACTGTCGCGCTGCTGTACCTATTAAAAAAATACAGGAACATTTCTCGCGTACACAGGTTAGTTCACGACAGAGAGCTTCAACTGCACGATGGCACGCGGCTCCTGCGACACGACCGATACGACGAGCTGTTGAAGTCGGGGGTCACCGTGGAACAGCTTGAGAAGAATGGGGTCAAGAAGATACACCCGGCTTTCAGGTGAGATATAAGGAATAAATAAAGGCGTATGTGTTAATTCAGGATATCACCTATCTACATACCAAATTTCAGCCAAATTGGTCCAGCCGTTTTTGGTGAAAGAATAACAAACATACATTGTTACAATTTTCAGATTTGTAGTATTAGTAGAATAGTTCGATTTTGGGGAGAATAAAAAGTAAACTTATACTCGGAATTTTAATTGGATTCCAGATTTGACACTTTCAGTGTTGCAACGTTATGGCAAGTATTAAATAGTGACGTTGCGAAATTATTTGATATGGAAATGGAATATTTCCGAATCGATTCCTCTCGTATATCTCATATATTTACTCTCGCAAACCTAAGTTTATCCGGAAATTAAATATTACTGAACCGATAATTTAGTTTTGACAATTAATTAACGATCTGAGACTTTTCTTTTATAATTGTGTGTGAAATTAATAAAAAAATGTGACCATGAAGGAACATGACAAATAAAACAGATAAATGTATTCTGGTAATAATTTATTATATAAATTGTCGCCGTTATCGCTATCGCTATCGCTGTTACTTTTGGTAACATTTATTATGAATTGTGTCTGTGATATTTATTGTCAATTAACATCTAGTTTACTCATTTTTTCCTCTTCTCTGACAACATGGGATACGCATTTAGACCATTCGGTAGCCGTAATTTTTTGAATGTCTTCCTGACACTGATTCACTGATTGTTTATCGATTTTTGTGTTCATCACTACACAGTTATAAGTAAGTGGTATGATTATTTCACAAAATGACAGTAGCTTATGTCAAATCTGGAATCGAATTAAAATTCTGACAGTTTGATATTTTTTGCCACCTCATTATTATTTAGAAAGTTTATTGATGTGTAAGTAATCAGGTGTGTCTGATTGCCGCACAGCTAACGCGATATAACCGTATACAAACAGCTTAGGCGGCAACCATAAGCGGGCTTAGAGTTTAATCATTTTTGTTGGTAATGATTTAAGTTCCGTAAGTCCCACTATTATTGAATACTTCTAAAGTAGAAAACAATTTTAGAAAAAAAAAAAATGAAATCTATTATCTATGTTCAGTTCTCGGCCTAACTCGTCTGTAACTAATAGCCCTAAACTTTAATTTGTTTTATTAGGATAGTAGCATTAGCTGAACCTCCAGTATTAGGACGCGGACAGCAGTGGCTGTCGCCAGAGATACTCAGCCTGTTCATCTTCCACGAGATGAGGAACCTTAGCAAGACTGAGGAGATCTTCATCATTAACAGTTTGGTAAGCAATTTTTTATTTTATCTAAAGGTGCAATGGATGGATTATTTTCTTATTATATTTTTATAATGTATAAAGAAACAGAAACCTTATTTATAATGGTACCAATGTTGCGTCACTTAAAACTATCCTACGAACTCTTGTAAAACACATCCAACGATGAATCCAGTATGTTGTAAATTTGACTTCTGTCTCAACTTCTTTCAGTATGGTGACATATCAGAACCGCTTCACACCATCATAAACTTAGCAGACGAATTAAGGCGATCAGAGGACAGCACTCTGAAGAACCTCTCATCATCTCTGTCCACTAGACAACTCCTCAGGATCGCTAGCAGAATGGCCAAGTACCCCACAGACTCAGCCTACGAAACCGTCCAACGAACATTCCTAGCTAAATTCCTGCCTAACTTAGCGAGGCGAGCTTTAGATGGAGCTAGCCAGAAACTAAGCATAGATCCGCCTCGAAGATTTGGTGTTTTCGGAAATAATCCGTCTGAAACCAAGGTCAAATGTTCAGTGGCAAAAAACGTCTTAACTATAGGAAATACGAGTACAGAGATATACAAGACAGATGCGTTAACCAAAGTACCTGATATTTTGTTCTACGATGTTCCACAACATATGAGGCTATTAGAGTGGTTGTTACAAGACTTTTTGCTAGGCAACCATCTACTTTTAGTAGGCAACCAAGGTGTAGGGAAGAATAAAATAGCTGATAGACTTCTGCAGTTGCTTAACCGTCCCAGGGAGTACATACAGCTGCATAGAGACACCACAGTGCAGTCCCTAACAGTGCAGCCCACTGTAAAAGACGGAGTAGTTGTTTATGAAGATTCTCCTTTAGTCAAAGCTGTGAAATATGGCCACGTTCTAGTGGTTGATGAGGCGGATAAAGCTCCAACACATGTTACCTGTATTCTAAAGACGCTTGTAGAGAATGGAGAGATGATCCTAAGTGATGGTCGGCGTATAGTGCCCAAACATATGTTGGAAAGTTCAGGCGGCGATGTGTCCAGTTTCATTCCAGTGCACGATGACTTTAGAATGATTGTCCTCGCCAACCGACCCGGGTTCCCGTTCTTGGGCAACGATTTCTTCGCGTCTTTAGGTAAGTGTTTGGTCTGAATTTTCGAAGGATTTAATTTTTGTTTTGTTTTGTGTTATTTGTTTTTTTGCTTCTCGATCTTTTTAGGAATCTCTACTTTAGATAGAGCAAAAAGCTTGAAGTTTAAGTCAAATGTGCCCCTAATCCAAAGAATATCCATACAAGAATGTGCTTGCGACAGCTCGACCAATGTTCTCTAATTTAACTAAAATATCACAAAACTAGCTTCCACACGCGGCTTCGTCCGCGTAGTATGTTGTCTAAGCAGCCTTCGTCTAAGCAGCCTTTTTGTTAATCCAGGGCATCAGCTATGTACATACTTTATTTTAACCAAATCGTTCCAGCCGTTTTTACGTATAGAATAACAAACACACATCTACATATACATTGTCACTTTTACATTTATAATGTTAAGTAGGGATTAAAGATATATTTTTTTCTTTCTTTCTCAGGTGACCTCTTCTCCTGTCACGCTGTAGATAATCCATCAGTGGAATCCGAGATGGAGTTGCTACGTTCATACGGGCCTGATGTACCACATGACGTCATGAAGAAGTTGGTGCAGGCATTCGCTATATTGAGGGACAAGGCTGACCAAGGGCAGCTGACATATCCATACTCTACAAGGGAGTTGGTTAATATTGTCAAACATTTACAGGTTAGTTATGGTATACATACATATACAGGGTGGTATTTTGGACTAGGGACATATTCAATGTGTGTTTGGTGCTCAATTAATTACAACAATTTTTGCCTAGGATCAATATCCAAATCTCAAAAACAAATTGATTTTCCCAAAGAAATGGCAACAGCTGATTGATCATTTTGCATAGAGAAGTAAACATTTTTTTGAGATTTCCATATTGGTCTTATGGAAAAAGGTGTTTTGTTAAAATAAATATTTTGTATTTGGTTTGATGGACAATAATACTTATCATCATATATAGCTAATATATGATGATAAGTATTATTGTCCGCCTGCGGTGAAGCTCAAAAGCGACGGTTATTTTTAAATCGGAGTTTGTTTTTTACAATGATAGTATTGTAATTAATTTTTAAACATGTTTTGGGCCTATCTATGCTAGGAGTACAACATATTATGTAACTCATGTTTATAGAAATATCCAAACGAGGACTTGGCGACGGCTATAGGCAACGTGTTTGATTTCGATCGCTACAGCAAAGACATGGCCGACACTTTGCTTGAAGTGCTTCACTCAAGCGGACTGCCAATAGATGGCGTGCTTGAAGGCCGGTCTAAGGAGGCGCTCAAGAAGATACAGATGACTATTGAGAGGCATAGTGGGTAAGAGGCCATTTATAATAATTAGAATTTTTAGGCTTTAAAATCCAATAGATGTGAATATGTGAATAAATAGGGTATATAATAATACTCGTAATTTAAACTGATATTTAAACAGGTGATTGTACTCATAATAACCAACCACTTTCCCAAAGAATTTCTTTAGTTTAATTTTATTACTATAAATATTTACTGGCATGCAAAATACAAACGCAGACGCACGAGGCCCCGCTGCTAACAGCTGATTGGGCGATGCGCTGTCGAAGTTTGTTATAAGTAGTAATAAAAAATAAACTAATGAGTGTAGAAAAAAGTTATTCTGGGAAAGTTGTTCATGAGTACAATTACGAGTTTAATTATCGGTCAGTTATTACCAGTCACCTTGTTCTAAGTGAAATTGTTAGCTTGCAAACAAATCCATATTAATATAAGAATTTAATTTTGTTTTATTATTTCCAGTAAAGACACGTCATCGCCTAAGCACGGTAAGGAGGACCCTAAGAACGAGCCTCACGTCGGCGGGAACACGTGGGCAGGCGGCACCGGGGGGCGTGATACTGCTGGACTAGGAGGCAAGGGGGGGCCGTACCGGCTGGATAAGGGACATGATGTGCATCAGGTTAGTATTAAATGTTAAACTGGCGACCCGTACCAGCTTTGCACGAGTCGAACTTTTTCACCTCCGGCTGTTTTTCGTTTCTGACTTTGTTTTGAAACATCAACAAACATAAAATTGTTTTTTTAATATACCAACTGACCTAGCAAACTTCGTCCCTCTTCAAAATTCACTTAAGTTTTCTGACCTTTTGAAACCTTTCCTGGACTTCCACGAATCATTCAAGACCAAAATTAGCCAAATTGGTAAAGGCTTCGTTGAGTCGAAAAATCCAATGCCAATTTTTGCCAGTTTTCGTTGTAATTTTATAACATTAAAATGAAACCTGGCATTGTTTTTTTATATATAGATTAGTTTAGATAAAAATGTATAGTCCTAATGTTCATTACAACAAGTGAAAATGCTACTTAATAGTAGTTGCGCGTTGTAAGTCTTAAATAAAAACATTCGTAATACAGCTTTCAGAAGCTGAAAAGGACGATGTACCGGAACACGTGAAGAAGGCTGCGCGCGAGATGAACCGGAAGGCTTTCGAGGAACGACTGAAAGAGATCAAGATGAGCGAGTTCGATGCCAACCTCTATGGACAGTTCCATAGAGCTGTGCAACAACAGGTAATTCTTTTTATTTTAAGTCAGAAGAACATCGTATTTTAAAAATAAGGTACCGGGTGTGATTTAGAAGGTAATGAAATTCCATAGTCGAACTTCAACTTGGGTTTGAAAAAAGTTTTGTTTTAGAACACGTATTAATTGTGACGACACATCGTGAGATAAATGAGTTGAAAGAAAAAAACTACTTCTTTATATGTGAAACTGAGAAAAGCTCTACACTAGTTTACTATTTAATCTACTAGTTATTCATGAGCAGCGTGCTTGTTGAGAGTTTGTTCATTTTATTAAACTAACACCCGGTTTCCGAAAGGCCGATTAATGTTAAAATCAATTTAATCTCTTGTGAAGTCATCTGATTCGTTGACTGAATTATCAACAACCAATCAGATGACTTGACAAGAGATTTAACAGGAGATTAGTTAATTTTAGCGTTGACAAACCTTTTAGGTGTAAGTTTGTCGTTATTTTGTAAAAAAATAAGTTAAAAAGATAAAAATATTTTTTGTTTAAATTGCGTTTTTTCCGAGGACGAAATCGCTCAATTTAAGATATTTTTGCTGCATTTGTTGCGATTTTACACTTGTTAAATGCATAGGTATCGTTATTGACATTCTTCGTATTTGCTTTGCAGATAGGAGCATTACGTGGTGTATTAGCAGAATTGCAGGCGAAGAAGAAAGAGAGGCATTGGAGCCGTCATCAGACCAGCGGAGAACTGGATGACGGAAAGATTATAGAAGGTACTTATCATTCTGTACAATTGATCTAGTGGTTGATACAAATTGCTAAGATCACAGGGTCTGTGAAATGACATTGAGTATTTTTTTTATACCTTCCCTCTTCACTTGAACTTTTTCTTTTTCAAAGGTGCGTTTACAGACGTACTAGTTATACAAAAGTTTGCGTTGTTTTCAACTGTGTGATTGTGGTTATCGAAGAACCAAATCTTCCTACATTCCAATTCCCAACACTTAAACTCCTAACCTCTAGAAGTGCTTCAACGCTCTTGTATCTCCCCATGTGCTGATTGCTTACCATCAGGTGACCCGTATGCTTGCTATCCCACCTTTCTCATAAAAAAGTTCACATACACATTATACCCAGGCATTTTTTTATTTATTTATTTATTTATTTATTTATACACTTTATACAAAAACATGTAAAGGTGGACTTAATGCCTTAGGCATTGTCTAACAGTCGACCTTTGGGTGATTGAGAGATGAGAGTGGCAGGTGACATAAGAATAAATAGCAAAATTTTATCAATTTACATTACTTAGATACCATATATAAATATAATAACGAAAAAAAAACAATATCATTATATAAATAAATATATATAAATCAGGTATATTATATAATACACGAATAATAAATATATATAAATATATATATATATGTATATAAAAATAAAAGTTATGAAAGATTTGAAATCGCCAATTTTTTCAGAAGATGCTCACGCAATCTTGATTTAAAAGACAAACGACTGGTTGCCATCCTAATCTCCGTGGGTAGTGCATTCCATAGCATAACAGACTGAATAAAGAAAGAAGAGTGAAGAAAGTCAGTGTGATGACTTATACATTGAAGATGACGATTATTGGAAGAACGTAGATATTTAGTATGGTTTGCACTGGTGTATTGAAAATAAGAAGATAGATAGCTAGGGGAAAGAGGAGAGACAAGAAAGGAGTATAAAGTGGTGAGAGCCCTTTGCTCCCTGCGCTGGCGTATGGGCAACCACTTTAATTGCAGCCGATGTGCAGAAACATGATCATATTTACGCAGGTTGAAAACAAATCGAATGCAGTTATTCAGAAGTCGATCAAGCTTATTGAGGAGATCTGCATTCAGGTCGTAATAACAAACATCACCATAGTCAATAATTGGAAAAATAAGAGATTGCACAAGCGCTGCCTTTACAAAGGATGGGAGAAAATTTTTAAGGCGATATAGAGACCGCAGCGATCCTGTGACCTTTTTGCACACGTTGGTAACCTGCGTACGCCAGCTGAGGGTGCTGTCAATGTGCAGACCGAGATCCTTAACATCGCTACTAAATGGTATGACAGCATTATCAAAAATTACAGGTGGTAGCATGCTATTGCCAATCTTACCTAGCATACGGGAACTGCCGATAACTATCGCCTGGCATTTGCTAGGATTAACAGCTATCCCAAACCTATCGGACCAGTTTTTAATGGCCTGCAGATCGACATTAAGCTTGTCAACAGCACCAGACAGCTGCTCTCTGCTAGCTTGACAGTATAATTGCAAGTCATCAGCATACAGATGATACGGACATTGAAGTTCTGTAGTAAGCATATTAATAAACAATGAAAATAAAAGAGGGGAAAGTATACCGCCTTGAGGGACGCCAGTTTCCAACGTGCACCAGCATGATGAATTATCACCAACCTGTACCCGTTGCTGTCGTCCCTGAAGATAGGAAGAAAACCATTGTAGACTATCATCGGAGACCATAAGGTGGGACAGGATGGCCAGGAGGACATCGTGACTGACCATGTTGAAGGCGTTGGAAAAATCAACTAACACCAGCACGGTGATCTTAGTATCATCCAAACCAACCCTCACATCGCCAGTCACTTTGAGGAGAGCGGTTGTGGTACTGTGTCCTGGTCTAAAACCAGACTGGAAAGGACTTAACAGGGAGTTTTGGAATATAAAATGCGAGAGTTGCTTATGAACACAAGCCTCAAGCACTTTAGACAGGAATGGAAGGATCGAAATTGGGCGGAAGTGGGTGGGTAGAGTAGGATTTGGGACCTTAGGAAGTGGCCTAACAAAAGCTAGGCGCCACAGAGATGGAAAAGAACCGGAGAACAAGGAAAAGTTTACTATATGGGTAAGGGCTGGGCAGAGGTGGTCCAAAACTGTTGTGATCATGTAACGGGAGATGTTATCACAACCAACAGCCTTGGACTTGATGGACAGGATAATCTTTTTGATCTCCGCTGACTCCACAGGAACAAAACGAAATGGAACAATTTTGGAACGCACCAGACCAGCAATGAAAGCTACAGTACCATCTATAGTCAGACGATCCAAAGACGAAGATGTGGAGAAATGTTTGTTAAGATCGTCTGAACTAATCGAGTTTGGAAGGTCTGAGTGTTGCGTTCTTTTGGGAGAGGAAATCATGAAATGCCGTCTTTCGTTCAGAGTAAGCCAAGAGGGAGTGCCTCTTACTGACTAAAACCCCCCTGTTCCTTCGCCTGCTCTATGCTGGGTTCGCGGATCGAACAAAGAGTTTACCTTGCGGGATTCGATTGGCAATGTTTTTCTGTGTTATATATTAATGAATCCCTGGCGTGTATTGTCCCAGGTCTGGCCGGCGAGCGCTCGATATACCGCCGACGGACGGACCAGGAGCCCCCGCCGGGCGCGCCGCCAGAGAAGCCCAAGCGGCTCCGGCTTGTCGTCGACGTGTCCGGCAGCATGTACAGGTATGTATAGAAAATCTGTTTATTCAGTTCATATATTGGTTTTGTTCAGCAAATGGTTGAAGTCAAGTGTTTATTTTTTTTTATGTAATAGGTCGGCAAACGAGCCATCGCATTATCTGATGGTAAGCAATCGGCGCCGCACATGGACACCTGTAACGGTGGAATTACGAGTGCGTTGCCGACCTTTTAGGGATTAGGGTTTTGGAGATTTAGGGATTGACGAGGGGACGGATAGGGTCTTCGGCAACCTCACTCACACAGCGAAACACAACGCTGTGGTTGTTTCACGCCGGTTTTCTGTGAGGCCGTGGTATCAATTCGGTCGAGCCGACCGAATACGGTAGTTTCCAACTAGTCAAATTCAATACTTTTATCCAAATGTCAAAAACGATACTTTTCTATGAAAATTCTATGAAACATTGAATTATGACGTCATAGCATTTTTGCGTCAAATAGCTTACTTATTTTTAAAAAATTAGCTAAAAAATATCTAAAACTTAGTGTATCGATCGATCGATGAATAAAAGTAAAGTTATTTTTCAATATTTTATCGTATTAAAACGTCAGATTAATTTATTTTTGACCTAGGAAACTACCCAATTGATACCACGGCCATATATTACGGCCACGGCCGGCGATATAAAAATTGACAAATTAATTATGTATTACGGTTTATCCACGTAATAATTTGATGCATTGATTTGACTACAAACGACGCGGCATACGTTGTGCTGCCGAATAATATGTCGTAATATTGCTCATACCTTTATTATTTTTTCCAATTCTTAACTAAAATCTCACCTTCTACACAGATTCAATTCGTACGACGGTCGTCTAGAACGTTCGATGGAGGCGGTAGTGTTACTGACTGAGGCCTTGAAGGGCTACGAGGCGCGCATCCGGTACGACATGCTCGGACACTCCGGGGAGGAACATGCGCTCGAGCTCGTCAGGGTCGATCGACCTCCGGAGAATGAGAAGGAGAGGTTACAGGTACTTGGGTGATTCTCCAAAAAACCTTAACTTTTATTTAACAAGTCATTATCCTCCCAGGTTTATAAGCATCTTAGTAATTTATTTTATACAATATTTTTAATCGGTTGCTTGTAAGCAGTGGTGAGATTTAATTTAATAAAATAATTATCTGTGTTTTAATCAGCAGACTCGTTAATTTTCGGTTGAGGATAATGACATTATTAATTTTTTTTTAATTGATGTGAGGAATCACCCACTTATCGTTAAGCTATACGGAAAGAAATAATAAAGAGATTGTTTATCGCATAGGTATGGTGGCAATCGAGCTGGTGGCAATTTGATGGTAAGCAATAATCGCCGCTCACAGTCTATCGCAAAACTTTGGAAGTGACAAATGCATTGACGGGACAACGGAAGCGTTGATGTAAATAATGTATCAAAAAGTACTAAAGATTTTACGGATAATAATTTTGTATCGAAAGGAACAATTTCTGTCTTACTTTATAACACTTTTACATAATATACAAACATGAAGATACAAGAGTAGTGTCCCGTACCCAAAATCTCCTACGGATCACCTGAAGGTAGGCAAAAAACGCCGCCAATAGACACCCACAACAACGCACGAGTAACGATTGCGTTGTCGAACTTTTTGGGATTAGGGATTTGGAGATTTTGGGATTGGGGAGGAGAAAGATTGGGCCTCCGAAATTCATTAACATGGCATAACCAAACCCTGTGGTGGTTTCACGCCAGGTTTCTGTGAGGCCGTGGTATCAATCCGTTCGAGCCGACCTATTCGTGCCGGACCGTGGCTCTACCACACTTATAATAATATGTGTAAAAATAAAAAACTGATGTTCAAAAACTCCACAGAATGTCAACAGCAAATACAGTGCATACACGTACCTTGGACTGCTACGACACACGTTGAGCCTCCCACCTCCGATGATTCCAAGGGCAGGAACACAGGAATTCCGGGAGGCGAGTTTGAGAGTCACGTGCGAGTGAGAAAGATCGCGGTGATTTGTTCAGGATTCGGATAAAAGACGTTGAGCGCGAAAAGAGATGTTCTCACACACGGCTTTTGAAAAGTGAATGTCGTAGCTCCAACTTTTTACGAGTCACTGTACGCACCACAGACTATAGGGGGTCTGCGTTTCGCTGTTGCAAACTGATGGAGCGTTGAACATCGATTACTTGAATTTGGAGAATTACGTTTAGTTTGTATGATGACGGAACAAAACTACTACTTACTTAGAATATTAAGTTTGTTACTATCCACTTGCAGATAATCCGCACGATGCATGCGCACGCGCAGTTCTGTTGGTCGGGCGACAACACTCTCCCCGCGGCGCAGCACGCTATATCCTCCATAGCCGCCGAGGACGCGGACGAGGCTATCGTACTCATACTCTCTGATGCCAACCTTAGGAGGTCAGTACTATGTGGCTTTTTACACACAACTTAATTTTAATGATCACTAACATTTTCCAATGTCCGCTTGGTACCCTATTTAAAAGAATTAGACACGTATATTTTTAATTTCTGACGAAATAAAACTCTTTTTGTGACATATCGACAATGAATATATTTTTGCTAATAATTTGATACGTCGATATTATTATAAAAATCTAAATCAAACAGACATTTTCTATTTGACTACTCTGAGAATAAATGTCGAAACAAACTCAGAGGTCATTTTTTTAAAAGTCCTGACAATGTAAATATATCGATTTCAAATATAGCTTCATGATACTTTCTCACTTTTTTACAACATATAATTATGCGGGTATTAACGCGAAAAGTAATTATTTAAATACCTTGAAAGGGTTGACGTTTCGACCTGGTTGCACAGGTCGTGGTCGACTTTTTTACTGTTAATGAGAATTTACGGTTTCTGAGAATAAAAAAAAAAATGAATTACTTTATAATAGAGTGTCAATGTTTTAGTCTAAATATCCATTCTTTACAGATACGGAATCCAACCTGAGGAGTTAGGCACGATACTAACGTCAGACCACAGAGTGCAGGCACACGTCATATTTATCGGCAGTTTGGGAGATGAAGCTAATACGTAAGTGTTTGTTCTATTATTTTCAGATTGGCAACAAAGGTTCCAGTCCCTATTATTATCATTTTGTGGTCTAGTAGGCAATCCAAACCCGAAATGGACACCAGCAAAATCAAAGGAATTACGAGTGCGTTGCTGGCTTTTAGGGATAAGGGTTTCGGATATATAAAGGATGGGAAACTGGGAAGCCGTGTCCTCTTTTTGCGAAGCATTAATGCTCGCAAAGAAGGAGGCTCACCGCGTCAGAGGAGCTATCCTCCTCCTCACGTATCAGCTGCCGCAGTAGGCGACACTCCGGGCGTCGGGGATCGAGAGACAATATCCGGCCACCGTAAGTGCGGGTCTGCGGACGACGAGCAAGAGTAGCTCGCCGCCCGACCAGAACCAGACCCGAGCGTACGGCGCGCTGCGAGCCGCGCGCGCCTCAAAGAGCCAATAGACCACCACAGACGGGGCCCTATAGGGCTGATGTTCAGCCGGGGTTGCGGGGTAAGCGCAATGAGGCACCGCGACCTCGGCCCAGAGCAGGAGAAGGAACGGGGGCGATCTAGTCAGTAAGAGTATGACACAAGTCATTTAATGATTTACCCCTGACAAAAAAAAGCCTCGGCCTAGAGCAGCTGAAGGTTTTTCGTTAGTAAGATTCTGAAACTCCTGCCTCCCGTCTCAGCCTGGGCGGGAGAAGTCATTTGAAAAAAAATACTATTTGAGATCAAGATTATCATTAACTCGGCAAACTTTCGAGCAACAAATCAACCATCCACTCAGTTACAGTTATAAACGCATTTTAATATGTATTTATAAAAGTTTTAATGTAACCTGTTTATTTTCAGACTCCTGCGCAGACTACCAGCAGGCCACGCCCACGTTTGCATGGATGTCGCGTCACTGCCACAGATTATGCAGCAAATATTCGCCTCTTCGCTCTTACAATCATCCTCTTGAATGTAACCTCTTTGTTAGCTAATTGATTATTTTACTCATTTTCCGTGCCGTATTATTCTGGTTAAATTGCTCTTAATTTCACATCATCAGCTTATAAGTGCCCACTGCTGAGCAAAGGCCTTTTCTCACACGGTTAATGTTTGAGCCTTATTCACCATGCTTAATCAAGGCGGATTGGTGATTCCAAACTTATAATAAGAAATTATAAGTCCAGGTTTCTTTATGATTTTTTTCTTAATTGTATGTTAGTGGTGTATTAATAATTATAGCAAGTACATATAACTAGGAAAAAGTCGCATTGGTACTTGCCAGATTTTGAACACTCATGCATTAGAAACGGGCTGCTTAACCTCCGAACCACCACGATATTTTAATCTACTACCACAGTTCTTAATTTACCAAATAGAAATATTTTTTGTCCTAAGTTTAGGAGATTTACAGTGTTTGTATAACTGATATTTAGACTTTGAGGCTCTGATAACTGTTGGGAGCAAATCCACCGCTAGCGTGGCCCATATGTAGTCTCCGATGCCATTCAAAATATTAAATACTAGCTTTTGACCGCGGCCTCTCCGCGTGATAAAAAGCTTATGTCTTAATCCAGTGTATCACCTATCTACAAACCAAACTTCAACCAAATCGGTCTAGAAGTTTTTCGTGATAGAATAACAAACATACATCCAGAAATTCTCGTAAACTCACATTTATAATATTAGTACGATGGCAATTTATAGAATCTGGTACACTCGAGTGATAATGTTACAACTTTGGTGTAAGCTAAATACCTCTTTATTATTAACTAGCTACTCTCGCGCGGTTTCACCCGCTGCTCGGCTCCATTTAATCGTAGTATGATGTTTTATAGCCAATAGCACTCAGGAATATTGTAGCTATCTATCAGTGAAATAATTTTGGCAATCCGACAAGCGGTTCCAAAGATTACCCCTACATACAAACTTACAAACATACAAATTTTACCTCTTTATAATATTAGTATAGATTAAGTATTATACATAGGTTACTTTACTGGTTTACATTAAAAAAACTGTTTCTAACTGACGCTAATATACACATTTTGAGAAATAAAAATTTATTTTCTTCGTTGAATCAATAAGGTTTATGGCTAGAACTTATTTTGTTAAGGTGTTGGCTAAAGACAGACGCTAATGTTATTTTCCTTTTATTTTGTAAGTACAATGTAATATTGAAGTAATAGTGTTGCAAATATTTCAAAGTTCATATGTGTAAAATGGCTTTTAGAGAATTTTTAAGTGACGAATATTTGCTACCTTATAATCAACATTGTTTTTATGGTAATGTAACTTCGTATTGTTTTTCTAATTTTTTCTTTCAAAGCCACTACAGTTTCCGTGTTTGATAAAAATAACTTTATGTTATTGCTAACCTTTCGGGAATGACGTTTTTTGATTTAATTAATAATCTAATAGAGCTTGGTTAAAGAAAGAATTTAAAATAAATATTTATATTTTTAAAAGTATGATATTTTTGTTCATTGCCATACGATAGAAGAATTGCCAGCACAGTTAGCTAATATAATGATCTAAATGAAAGTAACTTCCAAAATAACTTTAAACCAATGATAAATAGAGACGCTATAAAAATAATATAAGTACATACCACGATATATAGAAAGCATTCCTAGTTAAATTTACACTTAAAATATAGAAGACGCTGTGTATTTTTTTTACATTAGAACAATTTGTATAAATATTTTTTACAGTATGTAAATATGGACTTTATAACAGTAAACTTAAGAACCAAAGTTGTATATATATTTATTAACAATTCCCATAATAGTAATACATCCATAGTGATATTTAAAAATATAATTATGAGGCAAAAAATTCGTGTATTTACAAAATAATGCCAAAAATGGCTTCTTTTTAAACTCGGTTTGTTCACAAAACTTTATTATTGTGATATGAATTACCATATTTTTAATAAATGACGTAATTTCGTAATACCTGTGTATTATTTTATTTTATTGTTCATCTCTTTATAACATAATCTACAGAATGATTCTTTCGTTATTCTTATCGTAAGTGTGGAAGAGTCAAGCTTAGGCACGAATGGGTCGGCTCGACCGGAGTGATACCACGGCTTCACAGAAAACCAGCGTGAAACAACCACAGGGTTGTGTTTCGCCGTGTGTGTGAGTTTACTGAAGGTCCAAACCTTCCCCAATCCCAAGATCTCCCAAAATTCCTAATCACCAAAAGGTCGGCAACGCATTCGTAACTTCTCCGTTGTTGTGGGTGCGATAGGCGGCGTCGATTGCTTTCCATCAGGTAATCCATTTACTCGTTTTCCGACCTAAAACAAATAAAAAAAAAGTTTATTTAGTATCAATCCGGTCAAGCCGACTCATTCGGGCTGAAGCATGGCTCTTCCACACTTCACTAGTATTTTTTTTAATTAGTAAAAGATAGATGTTACAGTAACACTGACTGCACGGTTGGCGCGGTGGCTGGGCAACTGGCTGCTGTGCAACGTGTCGTGGGTTCGATTCCCGCACGGAACAACACTGTGTGATCCACAAATTGTTGTTCCGGGTCTGGGTGTGTTGTGTATGTGAAATTGTATGTTTGTAAACGCACAGGAGAAAATCCTAAAGCGGGGCAAGGTCTTATTTAAAAAAAAAAACAAATAAGTATACCCATCTCTGTCGTACCCCCCGGGAAGTAAAAGTCTATGTTTCATGTTTATTCTACAAATAACTAGAGCCCACTTCGTCACGTGTTTGCTTAACTGGCCTTATACTTGTAGATCATGAAGTAAATATCCAGGATACTCCATTACTCCATGTTATAAACATAACTTCCTCGTTATAATCCTATACCTAATTATTTTATCGTTACTGCACCAATACTTCCTAATTAAGTATATAAATTAAAAGTTAATAATTAACTATATGTAGGTATGTATGTATATTATGTATATTCTTCCTATAGTTTTGTTATTTCAATTAACGTTTTAGTGTTAATTAGGCTCCGAAATTCTTTCTTATGTTTAATCGCTTACGTTTTCCTTTTATTATTAAATATATTTTGTTCAAGATATGGGTACGTGTTTGCAAAAGGGGGAAACTTTACAAAGATATTTTCACGCAGTGAATATTTTCTAATTTATAATGTGACTATTTTAATTATATATTTTATTAGGTATAGGTAATTCTTCTTGTCTACATTTATATTCATCACTGACAAATTAGGTACATTTGCAACCATAATAAATTTGAACGATTTCTGGGAAGCTCAAAACACAGCATAGGAGAATGTGGCAGTTGTATAATGCACATGCACCACACTTTGAATAATGATAAAATTATATTATGTATTATAGGTACTTATAATAATCATGTATTAAAGCTTTGAACATTGTGTATCTATAACTAATTATGTACATGTCACCAAAAACACATTCATTCATTTCAGGCGTCGAAACATCCAACTTCTGTACACATCGAACATTTGTATTCAGTATTTTAATAAAAAAAATGTATTTAGATAAGTTACATTACTCATAACACACGAGAACATTTATTATAAAAAAAAAAACTCACAAAAATATTAGTACATTACAATTTATTAATTAAACTTTACAATTTCCAAAATTCGTCGTTAAAACTCACAATTACATTATGCGTAGTCGAAAAGGGCCGACGCTTATTTGTCTCTGTGATCGTCGCACTTTTTTCGGAGTTTCGAAAGGTATGGGTTGAGGCATAAGTTCTGGAGTATTGGTTTTCAAAATCTTTGGTACTTGATATTCTGGTGTAGTGCTAACCACATATTTACTTTCGAACTGTTCCCTTAGTACTGCAGTAATAACTAAACATATAGAAGATATAGACGTCGCAAAAATTAACCAACACAGTAGAGTTAACGTGTTCATTGTTATAAGGTTGAAGATCGAGTGGCATTGAATTCGAAGCAGAGAACAATATCCCACTCCCGATAGCACTGCAATAATAATATTAATTTACTTTATTTTCCTTAACATTACTTGCTAAAGATTTCCTATATGTTTTTATCGGTAAACTGTTTCCTAATTAGGTATGTTTTTATGAAGATTACGAATCGCTTGATGGTAAGCGGTCCTGTCCGTACCAGAGGCGGCACAAGCGCGTTGCAGACCAGGATAACTAGAAAAACTCAATACTTTTTCTTGACATAACATCAAGAATAATAGTTATTTTTTTCACCCTTTTTAATGCGAATATGGCAAATATACTTAATACTTATAGGTACGTGTATTTCTGTAATCAGCAAAAAATACTACAATGGAGTTTGAAATTATATTAACCAATAGGAGTTATTTTTAAATAATTAAATATAGGTAATTATCAGGGAGTGTGGGAGAACCATGCTTCGACCGTAGTGACACATGGAAAGCCTCAAAGAAAACTGGCGTGAACAACTGAAGATTTGTTTTTCGCCATGTGAGTGATGTAACCGAAGGCTCAATTCAACTTCCCCTCCCCTAACCCCTCCCTAATTCCTAAATTTCTGAAAGGTCTTCAACGCTCTGGTAAGTCCTTTGGTGTTACGAGTGCCCATGGGTGGTGCCGATTGCTAAATTGGACAAAACTTTGACAAAATAATTTGTTCTTCCGGAGTTTTCACTTCCCTATCAAATATGTATAAACAATACGCCATTATTTCATACTGGTATTTTCTAAGTTATTTTTTTTTTGTTGATTAGTACTTTTTTGAAGATAGAAATACTTACATTATTTGATTAAGCTCTGGGTGGATGTTCGAATAATATAGATATGTATAATAATATAACCTCCGTTTGGGAAAATTTTAGAGATATAAAGTGTCAGTCTGTCGGTCAGTCCTTTTAGTGAAGCTATATGCTCGTTGCGAAGTGTAGATTCCAATGGAGAAGAACGAGCATCCATGGTTACTCTTTTTAAATCAGTTTCACATACAGATTCGTTATAGAAACGACTGGTTATTATGTGAGAACAGTTTAACACTAATCATTGTTATAATAATATAAAGTTTTATTTGAAATGTGCACTGCGTATGCCTTTAGGAAA